AAAATTGCTTCCAGGACCAGTCAGTCAGAAAGATAAGAAACAGACCTAAGTGCCCATGAGGCAGATCCGGACAGGAGGTTAGAGCAGGATCAACCACTCAAAAGGGAGGGGATCAAAGTAAACGACAGGTTTGATGACGCAACGGTAAATTCGCCAAAAGTACACACCTCTTGTGGATATGTAAACATGTCAGAAGTTGTGTTAGGACGAGGGCGAGACAAGAGGGTATGAAATGGATAGAGGGACCAGGAATGGTGACAAAACCGTCTCGATAAAAAGTTGGTCAAGGAGTGACTTCATTTGTCTATTTGACGAGTTGTAGCTTGGTTGCTGAGACTGGCAAGACTCATTGACGAGTCTGGGAATGTACCAAGTCCACTGTCTGACTCTGGAGATTATCATGTATTCTACGGATTCCGGACAAGTTGCGTTACTCTATGTCTTCCTGCAAAAGGGACCAAATTGCGAAAACAATGTCAAAAGACTTCTATACAACGAAAGGAGATCACAACTATACAAAATGCCGCACCATCCTGGTCTTCAAACTCTCGCCAATTACATCACTAATGGAAATGTGTTGACCTCGTTGTCGCAACTTGATCTTGTTGTCAGGGCGACGAGGTAGAACGCATCTAGTCCAAGGTCGTCTGCCATAGTAGTTGTCATGATTACCAGCATCTGACAGTGGACTTGATACAGTCTCAAACGTTTCACCGGCATCATAGTCGGTATCATCAGTGAGTTTTTCCATTCACCGCACCCAGCTACGAACTCGTCAAAGAGACAAGGCAGACGATTTATGACTAGGTGCGTTCTACTAAGTCCCCCTGACAACAAGACCAAGTTGCAACAACGAGGTCAACCCATTTCTATACATCAAAAGGAGACTGCGACCATACCAGAGGCTATAACATCTTGGTCTTGATATCTTAAATCACTTATGCTTTGGTGAAGCCTTATAATGGTGAACTGAACGTTCTTCATTCTCACACTCCGGCTCATGAATAATGGACGATCTGAAGGTTTACCATATATTTTTATTTCTTGTTTATATGTAGGTTTGCGAAAAAACCAGTAGATCATATATGTGAGAAATATTCATCCTGTTTCGTTCAGGTGATACAGGACTGATAGTTAAATTTTCCCTCAATGGTATCAGTAGACCTAATGATTCCATTGACTTTCACATAGTCTTGCTTCCCAAAAGGTATCATCATCCAGTATAGACTGTAGTTTCGACTTCGCCTAGATATTATCAACACCCCCATCTGGAGTTAAACCCTGACAGTGCAGTGTATAATCTCGATACGTTAATCGGTACGACACATTTCCACCAGTGCCCTTTGGTCATAGTACAGGTGTGAATTTCAACGAAGGCCAGGTATTTTTCCTATATCACTTTGGGTGGTGGGATTGTCGATGAAGCAAAATTGTATTTTCCCTAGCAATTGACAACATTTCTAATTTCTCGTTTAATTTTAGATTTTCTAGACTACCAGTAGAAAACTATTCCTAAACATATTTCATCCCATGCAACATTTTTTGCTACCAAAACCTTCGCTCTTTAGAACTTTTTACCATTGTTTAAAATGGATGAGAATAGAGTCTAATGGTTGTCATCAAAACTCCGAGTGGTTTCAGCTGAAAGGGTCTGGAAAAGCCAGTAGTTGTACCCCTACCCACTACGGCAAGTAAAATGCTCATGAGCCATACTCTATGAAGTTAATCAGGTTTGCTTGCACCATTCCCTAAATAGCATAAATCATAAGTGCTTTTCAGTTTCCACATCTTAGCTATCAAAACAAGGAATAGGCACAGGCCACAAGCGGCATTGTTCGAGAGCCAAATGTCTAAATAGTTTGGGAACAGTCACACTATTCCTGGTAGAACTAAGCAAGTCCGTCCGAGATTATCTCACGAATTAGTTATTTTTATGCTTCATAAAAATGCTATTAACTTGCATTCTTTGATTAGGTGGAAAACTAGATTATGGCAATCACTGTTGTAGGCTCTTAGCTCATATGACTTCTTTAAGTTGGAAACAATGACAGATAGGTTATATGACAGAGGTTCGCAGCATATTAGGATAAATCATAATAAAAGCTCTGGAATTTGGTATAAACATTAAGATGAGCTGTAATCTGGGGACGGTTAAGGTAGATGTAAAGGAGCGACTTAGAGTAGGCGAGAAAGGGATCAACCTATCCAAAACAACATTGGACATTAGCACAGAGGAAATTTTTTCTAAAGGTTTGAACTTTGCGTTACCAAGCCGTAAGGATAGCCAGGAAATTCTATTCGTATAACCCATAAGTTATGAAGAGAAGCTGGGTTTCGAAGAACTCATAAGCTTTATTAACCATTTGTCGGAAGAGACAAGGAGTGATATCGAATTGCAAGTTGTCCATTTAATGGATAGCCATGTAGAGGTATCGCCAAAGCATAATAAACGGCATCATTAAACTACCTAAGAGAGCAGCAACAAATAGTGTTAAGGACACACAAGAGAGGGGCAGTGGTAGTCATGGCTAAGAGTAGTTAGGCAGAAAAGATGATGCAGGCATTAAATGATAATTTAATGTACATGCTTATCAGTAAGGATCCTATAGAAACCCTGAAGTTTAAATTCAGGGGTTGCTTTCAACATTCTGTAACCAAGGGAGAATTAAAGAAGTTGAAAATGAGCACCATTCTTCAATGGATGTCAGGCTCACGAATGCATATGACCTGTCCAAGGTTCATAAAGAAGGAATCCCATTCTAAATTATTGTTAATAATAAGGGTGGTGCACAAAACATCACGATACACTTTTCAGAAATTAAATAGAATCTCGGAAGCATGACATTCTTTGATAAGGAACTCGTATGAATTTGGTCCGTTAGTCAATAAACAGAGAATGGAAGGAAGAGAGTTGCTTTATGTAGAGTCGACATACCCAAACATTCTTGTGAGTGGAGCTAATCAGGCTCTAGAATTCACTTTAGGCCGAAACCCAAATATTCTGAGAAATACAAATTTAGGTAAAGAGTCAATAATGAGGTTGACGAACTTAGTGATGAGCTGTACATATTTTACTTTCAATAGTAAACCGTAGCAACAAACACAAGGCTTAGCTGTGGGATCATGGTTGCCTCCAGTTTTAGTAACTACCTACATGACTCAATTTCAAAGTTCATTCATATGATTGTGGAAAAATTCAACTATCAGTTCCCTCAACTCAAACCAAATAGAGTGAATACACCTCAAATGTATGATCTACTGGTAGTCTCGATAAAAACTTTCCTATAAACGGAAAATATTATTGAAATTTGTTTATGTAGCATACACAATGCAACGTAAACCTCCACGAAGGATGGGATATTGTGGCACAATTTGCCAAAATTCGGCCTGACACTGGAGTTATTCAGGAAGGAAGGTAACTTTTGACTGAGTGACACAGTAAAGTCTGCCCTCACTTCATCGTGCGTTGTGGCCTCTGTTATGGTAGCAGTCTCCTTTCGATTTATAGAAGTGGGTTGACCTCGTTGTCGTAACTTGGTCTTGTTGTCAGGGCGACTATGTAGAACGCACCT